TCCTCCCTGCCTTACCCAGATGAAGGGACCCCATTCCTGTCCATCAGCATCTTGTCAATATTCATAAGAAAGACAAAGGTGAAGAAGCAGCTTCTGAAGGAGGTGGCCGCAAACGATCGCTGGCACGTCAACAACAAATACGACCGGTCCCACACTCCCCTCACTGTGAAGGAGATCATCCGGCGTGCTAAGCAGTACATTGACAAGGAGGTGACCTTTGATGTGTTTTTTAAAAACTGCGAGCACTTTGTGACCATGCTGCGCTATGGTGAGGGGATCTCTGACCAGGTAAGTAATACAGGGTAAGCTGCTGTGTGCCTCAGAGAGCACCTCCTTGCTGCTCACTGCTCAGGCCTGGGCTGGGACACAGCCTGCAGACTGCACGGGGACAGCAAAGTCCCTGGATGGGGTCCGAACCAGCACTGTGTCTGGCCTCACCAGAGACCCTGGGCCAGGAGGGTCATTGTGCTCTGTGTGCACCCTGACAGTGGCCTCTTACTGAATGCCACAGCATAAGGCTCAAATCCTGGGTGTTCCCCTCCTGCCTGTGGGGAAGATGCCTCTCATTCATTTATTTGCTTTGAGTATCTCTGCCTGCTCTTCATGAGCTGGCCTAGGGGTAAATAAAAGTGCTTATCATGTTTCCAGCCTGTGTCTTACTTTCCCTTTACAGGCCAACACAGCAATCGGTAGGATAGTGGACGCAGTAAGTGCCATTGCTGCTGCTGTTATCAGGGTGAGCATGTCTGGGAGCAAATCCAAGAGAGAGAAATAATGCTGATGTGCCCATCTGGAAGAGCTCAGAGTGGAGCATGGAGCCTGTGACCATTGGGGTGCCTGCCCAGCTGTCACCACAACTACCAGTGAGACTTATAAATTTGCCAACCTTCCTGAAGAAATTCAATCATGAATTTTTAAAATTTCTGAATAAAACCTAAACCCCAAACTCATATTGCCCTAAAAGCCTCTTTTATCTATTTGGGTATAGCATTTTGTGAACCATTCAGCCTTGCTCCTCCCTTCTGCTCTCCTAGATAGAATGAGTCAAGGAGGTCACCATTCAAGTTGATGTCCAGGAGCACTAGCCTGTCAGCCACATCTGCTTTTAGTTCATTGCTTGTGATTTATATCTTTTGTGATCATCTGGGAGCACTTGCAAGCAAATTATCCATTCCTTCCACCTCATGTCACCTTCAGTGCTTTGCTGAGGACTGCAAGGCTTTTTGTCCGCATCCTGTTTCTCAGCTGCATCCCATGGGATCTTTCTGTGAATAAATGATTTTAACCTTAACTTCCTGAAAAAGTGAAATAAAGAATTACTGAGGGTTTACTGTGTATGCTCTGACTGAGGGCTGGTGTAGGTGGAAAATTCTAAATTCCTAGGCCTGTGAAAGGGCAGGGAAGGCATGTGCAGTGTCTTGAAGCCTGTGCTAAGCACCAGGTAGCCGCTCGCTCACTCCCCTCCCAGCAGGATCAGGGAGAGATCCAGAAGAGTTGAAATGAAAGAACTTGTGGGTTGAGATGAAGACAGTTTAGTAGATAGAGAAATAGCCACTCACACAAGCAAAGCAAAACAAGGAATTACTTCACTGCTTTTCTAAACATCATTTTTTCACTGTTTGAAATAAAAAGGCAAGACTTCTGGTTGTATTTTGTAGTACCCTTTGTTATTACATGTAAATAAAGTTCATGGTTTTAATGCAGGAAAACACATTATAATGAAACTGAAACTGAAAGTCATGTTCCATTCCATGAACTTCTTTCATGGCTAGAGTATTAGATGATGTTACAGCAACCTGTGA